CCCCCCACACACACATATTTCGTGGTACCCATAATGCACCGTAATGATGAGTCTTTATATGTGTCAATATAAAAACATAACTTTCCGATTTTCCAGTGATCCAGAACAAATTATATAAATTTAGCTCTTGATGTAGTCTTAGGATATGTATTGACATATTACAACATTTGAGCAAATAATCAAAGAAAGAATATTTGTTTTGTATTATGAATATTCTATTACAAGAATTACATACATTTATTTGTCCCAGAAAAGAAACCTATATGATCAGTGTTTTGATTTGGACAGAATGTAAACAATCAAAATGGCAGCTCAGGCTAATGTCCGCAGCTGCCGAAGCTGGCTTCGGCTAAAATTTGCTGTTTTCCTGTTCATTCTGCAGAATGTAGTCCATGTAAAAGGTTTTATGGACATGGAAGAGCTAAAATCTGTATATTATGGTTTGGACATATTGAGCGAACCTGTTGTCATACAAAAGGTAGGCTATAATTTACTGATGTCTGCCAAAGTCCAAAGATGGGCACTCTTCGTCTTCACTTCATCAGGAGAAGTGGTCCCGGCCTAACTCCATTGACATTTAGCCTATACATTGTATGATTGTGGTAGTAATTACTAGTAAGGCCACCACTATTCTCACGCCAGGTGAGAATGGCGCTCGTGAGCCTTTTGGCAATTCTCACCCGGTGTGCGTTCTCTGTGATAGGCCAACCAGTAGTGTAACTGTAGCGTTCACTGAGAAGGTTCTAGCGCTCTTGACACTCTTGTGACTTGTGTTGAAAGCATGCAATTTTGTCTGTGGCAGACTGTGGGCAGTGAAAGAGAGAGAGAGGGGGGGGAAAGGAGGGCGAGAGCGAAAGATAGACTTTATGCACATGAAAGAGGAGAAAGAAGAGGGTGAGAGAGAGAGAAAAAGAGTAGCGAGAACTTCCGGGCAAAACAAAAGGAAGTGGCTATCCGATAGGAATAGATCTAGAAATCTAGCCTTAGGCTATCCTCACCCGGGGTGAGAATAAAAATATGATCTACCTCTCACCCCGGGTGAGACTTGACAGCGTTAGCTATTCTCACCGGGTGTGAAACAAGACCTGTTGTTCCTCATTTCAGAATACTGTCTATCGGTGTGGATGATCAAATTGATAAAAGCCAAGAAAAAATTTCGTTTAGTTATCGAAGTGATTAGTCCGAATATGAAAAAATGTTATTCGGACTCTGATTCTTGTCCAGCATGACATCACTTCCGACTTCCTGTGACTCGTGAATCTGGCTTCCTGTCCTGT